AGGGTTTAGGGTTCAGGGTGGGTTAAGGATTGAGGGTTTAGGGGTATCCCCTTCAGGCCTTAATTAATTGCCATTCAGAAGCTTAATCAACAGGGAAGCTGGGCGGAGTATGCCCATAGTTTGCGGGAGGGCTTCCAAGACTTTTGGGGCGTAAGGGGTGAAAGGGCGGAGTTTCGGGGTTTCCAGTTCAACCCTGCACCCTAAACCGTTTGGAACGTGTCTCGGGTTGAAGGATTTAGGGCTAGGTGCCGAGCGGTTAGCTTCAGGGCTTTAGGCTTAAGGGTTGGGGTGGGCGTACGGAGTTCTAGAAGTTAGCGGCGTATATGAACGCATTGGATTCTTGTCTCATGGCCAGACTGCCAGGAGTATGGTTTTTGCTAGGACCACACTGAAGGTAGCCACAACGGGTTGGCAAATTTGATGGTTTAGGATTTGAGAAGTTTCCAGGGCGTAGGTGAGGATTCAGCATTCACGTAGGCGTTTAGGGGTTTACGGGCGAGAACGCTTTTCTCGGGAGTTCTTTGGGCGCACTTCAGCCGAACACAGATTGTCGTTCATTAAGGATTCCATGGTTTTGCTTTACGCTTTTCGACTTAAAGGCGCCGTTTTGTCCTAAAGGCTAGAGAATTGTCCACACCATATACTTGAAGTTAAGCGAAGGGTTTCTGCATCAATCCCAGTTTCCGTTGTATTTACATGTTCTTGTCATCTCATCTTCAATACAGGAGGTTACCATTTTTCAAATCCCTTTAAGGCCTCAACACAACAGGGGCCCCGCTAGGACGGTTTAGTGGGTGATTAGCATGGCACTGATTTACCTTCATGTTGCAAACCCTAAACCCTAAACCGATCCAAGATGCTTTTCAACCCAGGTCAGTCTAAATGAGGGCCCGCCTTTTCCGGGCATGGGAAAGGTAAGGTACAGTACTTCAGGGACTCTGATGCTAGGCAGGTAGGAGAACACTCAAGGTACAACCAGGTTAGAGGCTACAACCCCCTATAGTTTCTTGGGTTTCATAATATTCCCAGTTAGATCCAATCTGCTGCGACAAGTTTTCCCATCCCTCGACCTCATAGCGGTTAGAAGTTAGAATCTCAGTTGTGGATAGGAACCTACTCAAAAAGTCCCGCTGGAACCTCCCAACTTTCACGCCACACACTACATCCTCTATGCCTCCACCGTCGAGCAGCCTAGCCTCCGACCACTGAAATCCAATATGTTTCTTAGCCTTTATAGTAACTCCGTAATCCACTTTAGCCCTTGTATCCCGTTTCATGGCACCTTAAACACTAAACACCTAAATCAGATGAGTAGTATTTTATTTGGGGATACTATGGTACCCAATATAGAGAGGAAGATTCTATCCTCCTTTTGGGGTATAGTATTTTATATGAGGAATATGATCTTACTAGGTTCAACCATAAAAAAAACACTACTCAGATGCCCCTATACAAACCTTATATGGGTGGTTGTCAAAATTATGGTCCCTTTTTGGGTACCCTAAATATTAGGTGCCGTATTATAATAGGGACCCAAAAAGGGACCATAATTTTGGGAACTACCCATACCCCTTCGAGGAGTCTCGCCTTTTGCTGGTGTGGCTCCTACGCCTGTGGCGCCAGCGGGGCCAGCTGCTCCCAAGGTGTTGGCCTCAGGTTCAAAGGGTGTAGGGTTTGGGGTTCAGGCTTCAGTGTTTGGGGTTTAGGTTTCAGTAGGGTTCAGTGTTTGGGGTTTAGGGTTCAGTTTTTGGGGTTTAGGTTTCAGTTTTTGGGGTTTAGGATTCAGTGTTTGGGGTTCAGGGTTCAGTTTTTGGGGTTCAGGGTTCAGTTTTTGGGGTCTAGGATTCAGTGTTTGGGGTTCAGGGTTCAGTGTTTGGGG